CGCAGATTTGCTTCGGGGCGCGAACCAATGGGAAAAGTTCCCACGATGAAGAGAAGAATCTTCGACGGCGACAGCACTTTTTGCCATCCCGATCTTTGTAATCTTGATCAGTCCTGGCCTCGATATTTTAAACAACGAGATATGTTCTATTTTTTTTTTTTTTTTTAATACAATTTTTTTGCGACACGGAATGATGACCGCGAATAACAACGCGAAAAGAATTTCTCTTTTTTCTCGTAGATATATGAAGTGCCGCAACGCAGAACAATTTTTTTCGCCCGGTCACATATTTTTGACTCTATCCTATTTTCGATCTCTCTCTTTTCTCTCTATCTCTCTCTTTCTTTCTCTTTTTTTTTTTTCATCGCGTAACGTGCCGTGAATCTATCTGAACCCACTTTTTCACTTTTCTATCGTCTATCTTTACTGTCTGGCTAAATGCACACTGTATCCACTCGCTCTCTTTCTTTTTTTTCTTTTTCTCTTTCTCTTATAACGTGTATTGTCAAGTCTATACTGTCTTTCTATTATCTAACCATAACGCAACTGTATCTCTCTGAGCTTTTTACTAACTCGCCAACGAAAATAAAAAAAAGAGAAGCTTTATTCTCGAGTCAGGGCTGGGCAAGCTTATAGAGAAGACGCCGAATTTTATTACATACTCTCCTTTACATACTTTCTCGAATTTGTAGAATAAATCGTCCGCATGTAGAATGATTCGCGCAATTGAATGATCGCAGATTCATGAAAGCGTTAAAATTGCGTTTTGCGCGCCGAGAAAAATAATCGTGAAACGAGAAGGGCGCACGATTTCGCAGTGATAGAAGCCCTAGATTTGTTGCAAAAAAAAAAAAAAAAAAAAAAAAAAAAAAAAAAAAATGCAATCGAAGAAAACATATTACACCCACGGAGATATCATCGAGGAAAAAATCCTCCTTTAGTCTCACGCGAGACTAAACTGACACTGTGTGCCTGAGACTATATACGCGCGCGTGTGTGTGCGCGTGTGCGTGCGCGTGTGCGTGCGTAGATTGTGCGGTGCAAAATCAGAAAGAAAAGTGGAAGAAAAAAATACAATAGTGAAAATGAACACAAAAAAAAATACGTAAATTGTTCCGACTTTTACGGTGTCTTCCTCTTATCTTTTTTCTTCAATCTCTTACGCTTCACGTCTCTCTCTCTTTTTTACGTATACCATTTTTCTATCCGTCTCTCTCTTTCTATTTCTCTCTTTTTTTGCTTACTTTGCCTCTTTATCTCTTTAACGCTCTGTCATACGCAGCACGAATATAATTAATTTTTACCAGATGCAAACAAATTCGCTTCATACCGTGCATGCATGGCTTTTCTAACTAATAAACGGTTTAAGATATGCGATATATGTGCAGAATAGGACGTAGGTTAATTAGCGCTTGGATTCGGTAACAGGATTGATGAACCGGGTGAATAGCTTCATTATCGTATTGATTAATTTCGTGTAATTGAGAACTTGATCGATCACTACCTGATATTTCGGAGCTTTACGTGATTAACGATAGATTCGTATTCTGCTGGAAATATCCATTGCCGGGAATCATGTATCATACCACGTAAATTAATCGTCGCCAAACAAGCAGTCTATCTCTCTCTCTCTTATTTTGCAATATTAATGTATTCGTAGACTAAATACATAATTAAATAACATTTACGTTAATTGATACAATAAATTAATTAGTGTATTATAATATAAATTATTCTTTTTTTTCATCTTCAAACATTTCCATAAATTATAGGTTTATTTCAGAATTTATTAGAGAATTATTTTTAAATGCAAATTAATTTAAATTATATCGACTTTAAAAAGAAAAAAATATACTCATAACTTCTCGATCAGAGTATATTAATTTAATTATCGATGCAGAATAGTTTGAGTGAATTCTCTGATTAAAAGTGTAACGATAATAATAATTTATGAAAATAAAATGCGCTTGCAACCGAATTAACACAGTATAAACGCTTATATAATCGCTAACTTTTCTATTAATTTTGTTCTGATTCAACAATGCAATTAAAATCGATAAACTTAATATTTTGCAACGGAGAGATTCAATCGAATGAATAGAGCTTAATTTACGTTTATCACATTTAGCGTATTACGTTGATGTTGTAGCTACGCTATAAGAAGTATGGCACTTCATATTCATCGGGAAGAAAGAAAAACGCGCATGTTCTCATTATGCTTGACACTTAAACAATTGCGCAAATTTTTATTTGACTGTGATATTATATAGAGCGTGATTTTCATCATTGACACAGTCTAAAAAAAAAGATATATCGCGCGTCGAAAGTACATCATGGATTATTTAAACTCCTTCGTGAAAAACGTAAATCGTTTTGCGATACTCGCAAGATCGCATCGAGAAAGGCATTAGCCGACACGTACAGTGGATACATACATAGATACTCGGCAAATCATTTTCTTCGGAAAACGATTATCGTATAGACCTCCATATAGAGACGACGGCCCCGAAAAAGAGTTGGTTGTTTATCTCTTCCTATCACGTTTTTCTTTTCTTCTCCATTCTTAACTCTCACAAAGGTGGACTGGCTCGAAAAACGGATTAAAAGATCACGAGACCGAAGTGCCATGCTGTGAAAATCATCAAGCCGCAAAACTTTCCTCTTGTCTTCTCTTTTTTTTTTTTAAATTCCTTTTTGTTCGATTAATCGAATCCCAGAGCCGTCGCCCGCATTCGATTGATCTTTGTGAGGCGGATAGTAAATGTGTAGGTATTACGAAATTTCCGACTCACGAGAGAGACGTTGGAGAGTGAAACACGTACAGGCGTCTACGATGTCTTGAAAGCGAAGCGAAATTGATTTTGCACCGACTCGCACGCACCGCCGACTGTCAGTGTCCTCTTGCCATGGTGTTCAATTAGGCTGTAAATAGCGAATTCGTCTTGGCAGAACTCTGTTCTCCTTCCGCGACAAGATTCTCGAAAGAAAAAATTATGTTCCTCTCATTTTATTTTCGCGGATAGAAATTTCTTACATTCTTACAAATCTCCGCAATCTCAATTTTTCTCAAATTTCGAATCATTCTCTGTGTGAATATATGCATATATTCAACACGGTGCATCATGAGAGAATCGCTAGCGATAATTATTCTATGTTTGAAATTTATACAGGTTTCGATGTATTCACATCATTGCTTCGAAAATGAATGTTATTGTTATTATGAGATAATTGAAGCGTATTATAGCAAACGCATATCGTTAGCGAAACACAAAATAGCCAATAAAATCGACCGAGTATCGATTTCAAGAGATTGGTTTCACGCTTCGAGTGAGAGGAACAGAGCTCTGGCAGTCTAGAGAACGGATTGTAGTGGATTTTGTAATTTTTTTCTCATCATCCACGGCGGACGAAACGGCTGATCGTGACCAGCCGGTCCCCCTGATTGGCCAAAATGAAATTCACACCCCATCGTATCCAATCCCTCACTTCTCTTTCTCTCTCTTTCTCTCTTTTGTCGTTCCCGCGTTCTTCCCTTTCTCGTATAATTTTGCACAAGGAGAAGAATGAGAAAAAATGTAAAATCAAACGATTCCTAAGAAGAAAGGGAGAGAATCCGACAAGTAGCTTTAGAATAAAATTTTGCTCCTGAGGAAGCTGTTCCAAAGAAAAAAAAGTAAAATAATCAATATTACTCGTAAGAGCGGTAAAAGTATTTTCAGAAACGAAGACTTTATACGATGATGATTATACGGTGATACGAATCGACTGGAAATTGCATTTAGATTTAATCTGTTTCGGGAATCAGCATATGTAATGTACAACAAATTCGACGATTTCTCTAAGCCTTTGCATGAGTTTCAGCGATTTCACGGATTCTACATATATTCCGTCCGATGCTGTGGAATTGTTTCCACTTGATATGAAACAGATCAATATATTATAATTTTCGCCAAATAAAAATGGGATTTTTATATTACTATAATAATCTACGAAACTTTTTCTATCTATCGCAATGATATCGCGATTTCATGTATTAATATTCTTTTTTTCTTTTTACCGAATATAGTGACTAGAATCGTCAAATGTTTCAATCCTGATAATTCTAACTAAAAAGTGATAAAAAATTATTTCATCATGCAATATTATCTCATTTGCAAATAACGCGTGAATTTTCGCCGGTAAATACAATAATACTAAAAGTTTTACTTTCCAATTAAATCGTTTTTTGTTTGCAATATGTATCACACACGATAGTATAAATATTCTCCCCTTTTTCCCGTACAATATTTTTTTTTTCATTATTATTTACTCTACTCTTCTCTCCTATTTTTTCCGTTATCATTCGTCCGTCCACTATCGCGAAATCGCTCTTCTATTACCGATCCATTGCCATCATCCGCTACTGCAGTTAATCCGCAAGCCAATTTACTGTCAATCTCGATTCGAATGGCTCGCCCCAGCTGAATATCTGCGCGCTTGCGGCTCAACGTGTGTAAATTCCCTTGTCTCTTTTTCTCTTGCCTGCTTTTGCCACGCAGTCGACGCATGTCGATACGATTTGATTTGCCTGTTGTTTGTTGGGTTTTTTTCGATTTAACCGTTTGTGGCCGGATTATCACGTCGTTCACGTGAATCCACTAATGCGAGTTTTTCTCTACAATGCTTTTTTTTACCATTTATACGAACCGTTATTGTACAACTTTCTTCCTGTTTCGAGGAGAAAAAAAAAGACTTTCCTTTGTAAAGCTAAAAGTTTAGATACCTCGAGTATTTCTCATTTATAGTAAAAAAAAATTAAATTAAATTTAAAAAATACGTTTGTGAACACGAATACTGCCGCATTGCAAATAGATATCACTTTGCGCAATGCACATATTCGAAACAATTAACTCTCTTCCTTTACTTGGTATTCAAAAAAAAAGATGACTAAATACGCATGAATAAGTTATATCGCAATATCAAATGTAATAGATGTTAATAGAAATATTCGATACGTACAGATCGCAGACTTGAACAGCCAGGTCAACGATCTCCGAGGTAAATTGTAAGTATCTCTTTTTATTATATCGTATGCATATATAATAAGAATTTTTTTATCAATATAATTTTTTCTCGTCGGATTCGCGAATATATTTGATTGCAATTTTTTCATTAATTTCATTACATTCTATAGCATGAAACCGACCCTGAAGAAGGTGTCCAAGTACGAGAACAAGTTCGCCAAGCTCCAGAAGAAAGCCGCCGAGTTTAATTTCCGTAATCAGCTGAAGCAAGTCAAGAAGAAGGAATTCACCTTGGAGGAAGAAGACAAGGAGGTAAGGACAATTGTTTTCAATAGAATTTTCGCGTCTTCTAGACGCGAATATTATTTTTTTAAAATTGTTTTTTTCCTCGCCCGTCAAAGGCCTATTCAAACGTTTTTTGAATTTATCAACGAGATTTTGTAGAGATACAAGTTGGGAATTTTCTTTCGATGTTAATTTATTTGTATTTCGAAATATGTGCTTTCAATTTTTCATTATGAATACGTTTATATATTTGTATATTTTATCATTGTATTCGTACATTTTGCATTTCGGCGGATTTAATTTTACTTCGTGCATCTTGTATTTCTGCAAATTTATTTCGATTGATAAATTCAATAACGATTTTTGAATTTTGCAAGAGACGTTACTTTTTTACAGCCATATACGACGGGTAGGAGTATAGTATAACAGGTGTTTTTTAATAAACAAAAAAGAAACAGTTTTTGTGACCCTGGTTTTCTTTTTGTGTACAAAACCCAATTGGCAGGTTTTCTTCGTAATAGTAATTTTTTGTTCAATTGTCCAATTTAGGAGATCCGCATTATATGTACGTACATGCCTTTGTTTGCATTTCGATATTGTTAAACATTTGTCATGATATATATCCCCGAAATATTATTTTCCCGGTTAATTTGAAAGGTAAATTTCCCGAAAATCTCGGGCAATGATATATAATCGCACGGTAATTAATCATCGGTTCATCGAACCGCGATACTTTTAATTGAATATATATATGAGAACGTTATAGCATTTCGAAGCCGTTTGGATTTATGCGAATTGATTAACCGCAAAATGTATGATTATGATAACCGATGACCGCAATGATTTATACTACAAAACATTGCTATAAATACAGAGACAAATATTTTTCTCATCGCGCGAGCGTGATCTCCTCAAAAGGACCATCCGTAAATCCTTTCTCGTATATGTACTCGTATAGTAGTGGTAGTGTTAGTTGACTAGGCAATTTGTGTTGTTCTTCACAGCCCAAGAAGTCCGAGAAGGCAGAGTGGCAGACCAAGAAGTAGATTTAATATAAGAAAGCAAAACCCGTTTGAGTGCGAAATCTCAATAAAATGCAGATTATTATTACGATTAAAAAAAGGAATCGAAAACAAACGACAAAATCTAATTTCTTTACATACACGCATACACATACACACATATGACATGCACACATGTGAAGAGACACACTAACACGATCGCTATATTTTTACAATCAACTTGACACGCGCGCGTGAAAATGAACCGCGAAAAAACGTGTACAGAAGAGAAAAAAAAAACAAATATACACATAAAACACTTTTGATATCGTTTCCATCGACGTCTCATGTGTTCACCAGCGTGTTTTCGGCATCACGTTCGTTTGAATTGTTGGCAAACCAGTTCGTTAGCGCCGCGGAACAAATTAACGAGTGAAGACTGAAAATTGCGCGAACAATTATCCTAGAAGTTATAGTTGAAATTTGATTAATATTTCTCTTCCGAACTAGACGGTCAAAACGATGCAATGTAGAAAGGATCTGATTCTGCGTAAATATATTCACGTACAATAATTATTATTATATCTAAAATATGATATATATATATATATATATATATATATATATATATATATATATATATATATATAAAACGAATATAAGTTGTGGCAATAAACGATCCAAGAGAACGCACGTGAATAAGTCAGATGTCTTCCTTGTACATATACGTCCGATTCTTTTTTCACGATATCCTTTATCGGCAAATTTTTCTTTTCTCTCTCGTTGTATATATTTTTTCTTATTTTTACGGTTTATTTTCCTTCCATCTGTGAAGTTTCTCACTGCGACAGATCGTTCTCTTGATTTTTATTTTCCCTTCCTTTTATCTTTGCATCCCTCGGATGCGAAACTCGATAACTTAAATTGACCCAATTCCCGATTCCCTTTTACGTAATGGAAAACGCGATGTTGCGTATGAAAATGAGTTAACGCGATCATAACATTTTTTGCTATATATGTATATATATTTTATGCAAAATCAGATACGATTTTCGCGCCGGCGTGCTCGTATTTTCTTGTCGCGTTGATAAGAGAAATTCTTTTACGACAATGTTACGCGAGTCGCGTATTTCAAATATTCGATAAGGAAAAAGGTCAGGTGTTATCGAGAATCGTACCGTTTCTTTCTTTCCCTTTTTCCCTTTCTCTCTCTCTATCTTTCTCCCCTCTCGTAAAACTTCACTAATTCGCCTTTCTCTGAGGCATCGTTTAATTTCCTTTATCTCGCCTTTTTTTTCCGACATATCGCGGCGATTACTGTCTAATTTGTTTTCAGTATTCATATCTTTTTTTTTAATCTTCGTTTTTACCTCTCCCTCTACTTCTATCTATCTAATTATGCAAAAATCGCGTATAACGTATATAACTCAGTACGAAATAGATAAAATATAAGGTTAAGTGGGGCGTGCAAAAAGGTGAGAATGGCTTGTAAAGTATATTTGAAGCTGACAGTTCTTCACTTTTCTTTCGTACATAATAGCAGAAGCGCTTTTTACTCACATACACATATGCCTGCCCATACATACATATACTCTTACGTTTTTTTTCTACTCTTTACTATCTAATTATACTGTTGCCTTCCGTTTTTCCGCACACTCGCCTCGTTTATCTTCTGTTCACACGTGTTAATTGCCGCGCACTTTCTCACACAAAATCGTTCGTCCAGCAAATTCCCGAGTGCTACGCAAAATGTTAGAAAGAAAAAAGTAAATAGAAAAAAAGAGTATTCTGACTCGCTGAAAAAAGAAGAAAGAAACACGCACTCTCTAAAGTTTTTCGTTTGGTTACGCAGTAATTGAGGCTCTTTCGCAGCTTGCCTTAGCGTCATCATTCGGCTGCCATGCTTCCAGGCTGTAAATGTGTAGGATTTGTTGTTCCGTGTCTTTGTTTTTGTTTCACAATCGTGCACGCATTTTGACATATTAAAAACAATTTCTCTCGTTATATTTTCAGCGAATTTGCAATAGATACATAATTTAATTTCGCGACGATTTATATATGCGTGCATCGATTACGACGTGTCGATCGTGATTTACATCGATGTAAGCCACGAACGATGCGTCATTTATTAAATAGTATTTAAATGTAACGTGTATATTAAATCCTTAATCAGTGTCCATGTCTTATCCGTTGACTAATAATGTTGCTCTTGCATTATGTTCGCAGAACGCGTCAAAAGATAAGGTAAAATTTTAACAGGCAACTTGTAGCTCGATATATATGCATGCGTGGAAAAGAATGACGTGTGTGATAGATGGGAGTAGATATTATAGAAAAACGAATAGATTATATATGTGTAGGTGTGTAAAAGTGGAAGAATGGAGAGATAGGAATACTTATAAAGAAAAAGCTTTCGTCGTTCTTAATATTCGTAGTGACGTAACACTCAATGCAAATCTTTCTTCAATATTTTCTTTCGCTTTGTACTCGTGATTTTCTCACGATGTTTAAACGCATTGCTCTCGAAAATTTTCAACAATACTGCAAAGCTATTGTCTTAGTTTCACCGTTCCGACATCTTTTTACTTATATTTTATTTCGGAGGCCAGCAGCACAGAGCTTGCGCTCCGCCGTTTTCTTTCTTTTTATTTTTACTAACAATCTGCACGGCTTTGTATCTACAGGTGCTCCAGACAGAGCAGCGTTAGACGACGTTTACGAAAACGTCGAGAGAATTTTTTTTCGGTAGTAAAGGATGCGCGACATTTTAGCGATCCTGAAAGTTGGCACTAAGATTTCGCGATTGGACAATCTATGGCGAACGCAATCCACGACGACGCAATCACAAAGCAATTTTTATCTAAATGGTTCTCGTAAATTTTTGGCATATGCTCCGACTAAATTAGCCCCCCTTTTCACCCCTTTCAAAAGGTTTTTTGAACCCCTTGCACCGTCGACCCTGCTTTTGCGAGCGTTCACCCCGACACTGCTAACCAGTGTTTGCGAATCTAATCTCGAATATATGATAATGAAATTTTCGTGTACTTGATCGCGACATTTGCTCGATTTTGCAGAAGAAACCGGACTGGTCGAAGAAGGGCGGCGAGGAAAAGAAGGTAAAGGAGGAAGAAGCGGCGCCACCGACACCGGTGGAAGCATGAGACAATTGAAAATGCGAGAGACACGCAGGATCATCTATCTGTCCGTCATCGTCAATAACCGCTCTCGATGCAGGAGCTCTAATAAACTTCCTCTTATATTTTTTAACGATCGATTTATTAATGTAATATGTCCCGCTGTCATGTTGTTGCACGCAAAAATCTGGCCCGTCTATCTGTCCGTTATGATTACATCCTAGATTGTATCGAAATTTTTTTTGACAACCAATATCCGATCCGTAGCTCTAGTCCCTATCGAACCTTTTTTTTATGGATGCGATGTATCTTTTTTTTTTTTTAATAAACCTTGTAAATTGTTATAAAACTCTTGTTGCGTGCAAGATATATAAGAAAAAAATTTGTCTTTCTATAAATCAAATGCAAGGAGAAGAATGTAATTGTAAAGAAATTAACGGGGGGGAAATTGTGTTACTTAAGATTTTATTGTAAAGCAAAAATACTTAACGATATTCAAAACCTCAGTGTGTGATCATTTTCCCATGTTTTTCTTAAATTCCTTTTATGTACCCTTTATAAGAAATTTTACCTTTGACAATTTAACATATAACAAAGTTATGTATAATGTTTTTCCTTTATGATAATTGTGTTATCATTGTATATTTACACATTTTTTTCAAATAGATCAATCAAATAGATAATTTATTAAATAGATAACGTAGTAGGAAGGCCTAATATTTTTTAATGGCCTATTGAGAAAAAAGTATCTTTTTTATTTCAGTTTAATATTTTTAAAGATAAAATTTAAAATAATTAAATATCTGATGCAAATTAAAGCGCAATAGTATAACAAATTTAATTAAAGATATTGGATATCTGACATTTTTCTTATCTAGTAAAATCATTAGTAAAATACTCGTGCTGGTATTTTTATCGTTATTATAGTGATCAATGAGAATAATACCAAAAGCTCTAATTTATAGATAAGCTAATATCCGGAGTTATATGGTATACGGTAGGTATGTCACTAACCGGATTTCGCTTAATAACCATTCGCTATTGAGTGACGCTTCCGACACAGCTTCATCACGTTCGCTATGATACACACATGCTCTTATATGCTTTGACAATTTTAATCCACTTTATTGATTTACGAATCAGCAAATACATTTCCACTTTCGAGAAATTAGTCCCTTCGTCGTTATTATTCTCCAAAATAAAAAATATGTATCAGCGATTTCGATTAACTTCCAATTTAGTCAATATTTTCATGTTTTATTCAATTAAATGACGTTTATTAGATTATATTCACTTTCGAGAAAAAAATTTCAATAACCATTCTATCTTTGTTTTCTTATGTTTGTTCGTCGATCAAAAATATTATGTTTGAGATATGAATTTTTTAGACGTGTTGAATTTATTATTTTTTTTTTTAATTTATTCAACACGCCTATATAATCATATATCGCAATTCCTTTCATACATGTTTGTTATTTATTTTCGCGACAATTTGCGTCTCGATAATGGACGTTGATGTATCCAATTAAACAGCACTTCCAACAAAGCCGCATTTACATCAACTCGAAACGAACATTGAGCTTTTTCATCCGATCGCGCGTTACATGTGTCAATTTTCAATCACTCTGTTTATTTCGCGATTCATCGATCGATCGTTTTCTCTACGCTGGCGTAAACCTATCCCTTCGCTTCGGCACGCGTTCTACACATTCGACCGTATTTATAATCATATCGGACGTCGCGCACATTGTTTAATTATCTTGACAATATTCGCGATCATAATGGCCGCGATGATTTATGGCGCAAAATGCCGTCAGCGAAGCCGGGGGAAAACGAGCGGCCCGGCGCGACGTAAGCTCATGGATGTCGCATAAAGCATTATTATCGAGAACGGGACAAATAATGTTCTATAAACGGCGGTTTAATGCGAGTACATTTGCGAAACGTCGCGCGCGCTGACCGTTAATCATACAATTTAATACATGTGTGTGTTCGCGCAATTGTGTTTTGCTTACGGAAACACTTTTAGTGACAAATCCCATGACGAAACAAATTCCATTTCTGTTGTCTCTCGCTCGCGTGTGTTAAATTCTAATGAAATATATATGCGGAATATCATTTCTATTTTGTTATTTTTGTCTACGCAAAAAAAAAAAAAAACTGACGATTGAAACGAGCTCTATATTCCGAAATTTTTAACACATTTCCTGAATCTTCCTCTCCTATATATTTCGAGCTGTCAAATCAATATCAAATATTTTTTTATAATAATATAATAATAGGATAATAAATGCATTTCGTGTTAATGTGTGTTAATATGTACAGGAAGGCGAACAAGTCGAAGCGCTTGCAGCGGAACCACCACCACCGGAACCAACACCAACGCCAGAACCAGCGCCAGTTCCGGTTCCCGCAATTCCGCCAGCGGAATCCGCACCCACACCCTCGCCAGCACCCTCGCCGGCACTTCCAACCGAAGGTGCTCCAGCAGTTCCTTCCGCAGAAGGTGCCCCACCGGAAGGAGCTGCGCCCGCGCCTGCTGGTGAATATAACTCGAAAATATTTTTAATACATGCGATTTTTCGCGAGATCTTTTCTTTTTAAGAGAATTGAAATTTTTATTGGCAAAATTAAAAAAAATTAATTTAATTAATTTCTTAAAATTTGATAAAATCCACGCATGAAGTCTCCTCTCTTTTTAAATCATTTTTTAAGCAAATGTTATTCAACACATTTGTAGAAGGTGCGCCTCCAGCAGCTCCAGCAGAAGGTGCACCGTCTGCGGAAGGTGTCGCACCTCCGACGGAAGGTTCCGCGCCACCAGCGGAAGGAACTGCGCTTCCCGCTGAAGGAACCGCACCTGTTGCTCCTGCGGAAGGAGTACCACCAGCGGAAGGTGCACCGGCTGAAGGAGCACCTCCAGCTGAAGGCTCCGCACCCGCTCCTGTCGAGGGTGCACCCGTAGAAGGAGCACCCACTGCACCTCCAGCGGAAGGTATGTTTTTTATGTTGTTTTATATTAATAAAATAATTAATACTAAATATTCACAAAAATTACATTTGAAGCAATGGAAAATAAATCTGAATTATATGTATCTATATTAAATCTTTGTTGTTTTTTTATTGTAAAAAGTAAGTAAAATTTTAAATCAATTAAATATCGATATGTGAAGACTTTTCAATTTATGTATGATATTAATAATAAGCCATGCTGATTAATAATAAGCCGAAACAATATTTTGCCAATCAATAATTTTTAAGTATAGCTTCTTCGGATACGATAGTTAAAATATTGGTGTCAATCAATCATTATCGATTTCAATCAGGTTTACATTTTATTTTTTATATACAACAAAAATATGCTATAAAAGAGATTGTGATTGATCTGTTACATATTGCGGATAGCACCTTCCGTAATATAAAAATAAAACAATTGCGTAGGTGCAACACCAGCAACACCGGAAGGAACTCCTGCGGCTGCGGCAGCGGAAGGAGCTCCTGCAGTCGAAGGAACTACTCCTGCAGCAGCTCCAGCGGAAGGTGCACCAGTACCTCCCGAAGGAGTGGCTGTTGCACCAGCAGACGCGACACCCGCGGCTCCAGCACCGGCGCCCGCCGAAAGTACGTAAATAATAAAAATTCTATACGCGTGATTTAATCGTTTATTTTTATTGTTTTTTTTTTTACAGGGTTAGCAAAATTTTTTTTTCAAAAATCTAGTGTTTTAAACCTTATCGCAAACATTTGCAACCGTAGTTTTATCGAGGCAATTTCATGTTTTTTTTTTTAAGCCGAACACTTTTTTACACGGTTTGTATTTCGCAAAAAACACGAGAAAATGGAACGAGAGTATTTTTTGATTGCCAGATTTACGTCGCCTGGCAAAATTGCTACCTATTAATTTTGGGTTTTTTAACTTAATTTTTAGCTAATCTAGTTTTGATATTGCGAGTTACAATCCGCATCAGAGGCAATCCCGCGCAAAAGAGCGCGAAATACATCATGAACGGTAGGTATGTCAAAGTCAGCAAGTATGAAATGCAACGGACTAAAAAAAGAAAGAAAGAAACAACAATCGCATCCGACGAACTAAAAAAAATATCTAATCTATCGTCACATAGGCATGTATGGGCAAACTAATGATTGCAAACTAATTGCGCACCAGTCAGATATCATCTGCGATGGAGGAAAATCGACGAGAGCTATTCTCCTCGAGCATCATCGACTTATCATTAACTCTAGCCAATAATTTCCTACTCTGTTATCGTTTCTCGAATTAATCGCTTTGTTTTTCTCGCGCAGCACCTGCATCGTAACTTGGACGAAAATGAGAAAGAAGAGAGAGCGAAGGATCACACATTTTTCTGCCACTTTCCTCTCGTCAAGCTTTGGAGGAACCTGCACGGTGCAAAAATATAAAAAATGGATATGAGAAACCGCCTTTACGATATCTCGCAGTTATCTTATCATCCTCGTCATCATCATCATCATCATTATCATCCTCGTCGCCCAGCGTCCTTACCATCATCTCTATCGCCGCTGCCTCATCGCTCATGCCTTGCATATTCATCGCTCATGCATCACGAAACTCGCACGTGCCGCACGAGATACAAAGGGAAACAGAATAACTACGTGCGAGAAACAGAGAAAGAGAGAGTCGCGTGTCTCACCGCGTGATATGTCTTATACGGACTCGACGCGGAGCTCATATTTTATTTGTCTGATATCCGTTATGGGAAACGAATCTGCGTGTCATTAAAATGCCGGAAACGAAACTGTCCTTATTCGGCGAACGCGAGCTGCGATTATTAATCGAGATTATGTCAAGCGCATTATACGCACACGATTTTGTCACGTTCGCTCGAGCACTCCGATAACTTTTCTATCAAACGATTGCTATTAATAGCAACAATGGTGCAAGTAACGAACTAAACGCGCGTCGGAAATTCTGAAAATAATCCACTGCGGCACGTCGCAGTTCTCTTTACACAGATCGATATCGAATCGACACATCTTCTGTATACGAGAAATTGGATTTCGTAATAAAAGCTTTTCTTCGATTACTGGTAACACTTCTCTCGTTTAACAGACGTACCTGGTTTTTCCCATCTATCCTAGAATTTATTTCGTCCCTGTATTTACGATTTATTTTTCTATCGCGTATGCTTCGTAAATGATTAAAAATAATCGAGTGACTCTTTATACACCTAATTTTACTTCATTTTTCTTTTACGTTCCGTACAAATAAATCATTTTATACCAATGATTATTATTATTCAATGTTTTCAAAAGAAAAGTTTGACGTAGAAGAATACACGGAGAGAATTTTCTCTTATATAGATTTTACCCTGAAAATCATGGTAATCATGATAATCATAGTAATCAATAAAAATCTTAATAATGTACATAGTAAGATTAATCGAACATATTTTTTATTTCTTATGATAGTAGATAAATAATATTTTTGTGATAAAAATATTAATCAGAAAAACTTATAAAATTCTTCCATATTTACCATCCACAATTACCATTCAATTATGATTTTCAAAGTAAATTTTCTAAGAGATCGATATTTAAAAAGTTATCTGCTAACAGCGTTACGCTAAAAAAGTTGGTCCATTATTTCTTAATTATTTATTAAAAACACTCCGGATTTTTTAATCATTTATTTAAAAAAATTAAGTGACTCATTTAAAGCGTAACGTTAACTTAGCATAAATTTTAAATTTTAATATAAATTTTCTTTTTATACCCTCCCTAATTTTCATTTTACGTTTTATACAAAAAGAATCATTTACACCAGATGATTATTATTATTAAATGTAAAAGAAAAATTTAGCATAGAAAGAAAATTTATATCGATGTTAAAAGAATTATCTATATCAAATTAGTGTCATGATGTAAACGAGTCACTCGATTATTTCTTAATAAATAATTTAAAAATTTTTTAAATGATTAAAAAATAATTCAATGACTCATTTAAAGAGTAATTATAACTTAGCAAATAACTTTTTTTAACATCGATGTAAATTCTCTTTCTATGCAATTTTTTGCATTTAAAAATAATAATCATTTGTAAGTGGTCCATTTGTACGAATTATACAAATCTTATTATTTCTTGGACCGTAATTCAACGTTTATTGCCAGTTGTATACGCGCAGCAGACCCTTTTAGATGCCTGACAACCATTTGTTTATTGCCGAGCTACGCATTTTGCCCTTTGTTGTGCTTTGTTTCACGGCACATACAAGGGTACAATAGATGGCCCTTCATAATGGAGTCTAAGTACGGCTGTCTTACTATGCGTTCTGTCATAACACGGAATCTCTTTGTTATTCGTATGACATTTATATATATCCCGTTTATATATATATACATGACATTAGGAGACTATTTATAATATAATAAAATATATCAACAATAAAATATATATACTAGCATTATGTATATGCAACGCATTGTATGGAAATTGTGTACAAATTAAAGTGCGTTAAAAATTTTTCGTATATAAAAATTTTAATCAAATTTTAATTAGAAATATCTATTGCTAATTATTTGTACTTGATTGTAATTGATAATTCTCGTTCGATAAATGCACTTGGATTAATTCCGCTATCATACATCGATAATTGGCGTAAATGATTCCCGTAACAATTTTAGCACGTAACAAAGCACAGGTTACATAAATCAAAATTGAAAATGTAACAGCAACGCGAAGGTGTCTGATAATAATCATAATTTTGCACGTGCGCATCATTACTGAACTGTATAAAGTAGATAGGATACCATTACGAATGGGTTTAGTCGCGGTTTGAAATATTCAAGGTTCAATATTCGGATTCGCATTGAAAACGAAAAATAAAGAGGCATTTGATACAATTATAACGACTTCTCTCATACAAGATCATAATAGCGTGGAAACCATAAAATTGCAAATTACTTCGGCTGTATTTATCGTACAAAAGCAGGATCAAAAATAATCGTCATGAAGACGGAAGATTGACAGTTCATAATCCATTGGTAAAAATAGAATGCGAGTTACGCAGAGTTAATTGTCAATTGTTTTTCTCACACTTGTACTACTGACACGATATACTGTATTTAATGGATTTAATTAATCATATACGCGTAATGCGATAATCACCCGATACTTTTCGACACTCACGATATTTTTTTCCGACATTTCTGATATTTTTCTCGCCACTTCCGATAGTTTTTTTCGAAGCTTCCGGTGTTGTACAATATTTAATACGCATTTAATATAATACGGTAATCCTCCGATACTTTGTTTTCGATACCCCCGATATTATTTTTCGCCATTCCTTATGTTTTTTCGTCTAATATCTAATGCATTTAAAAATTTGCAAAACTGATTTCAATGTTCGATTCTCTTATACAATAATTGCAATAATTATTGTAATCGATAAGAATATTTATAAATATTTATAATCGTTGGTTTTACATAATTCTGAAAATTCGTCGAAAAAGAAAAAAACAATTACTGATACCAGACGCAATTTTAGAAAAATTTAATTAATATAAATTAATAAGTTAAACACAATCGCGTGAGAGTATTTCTTTTTCTTAACATTTGAATATACATATTCGAGAAATTCAAGCAAATAAAGCAGCAATTGTGGGATTATAATAAACTTGTAAATTATGTATTTATAAGCAAATTGAGTTTTGCACGCTCTTAAGTAATAATACGATAATCGCACGATATTTTTTTCGACATTCCCATATTTTTTCTCGACATTCCTGATACTTTTTTCGATACTTTTGGTATTCAATACGAATCTAATATATGCAACATAATACGATAATCCTCCGATACTTTTTTTTCGATACTTCCGATATTATTTTTCGTCAATCCCGATATTGTTTTTCGACACTCCCGATATGTTTTTCGATAACCGGTACTGCATGTTTATTTGCAGATGACTTTTATTGTCGCTAATTTAAACTCGTCATTCCAATAATAGACGAGTAATTCTTATAATTGTCACATAATTATAATCATAAAGAGCATTCCACTTGTCGATTCACAATGCTAGATCATTTATCTTTCTTTGTCTTCTATTGAACAATAAAAAAATAAAATAATCTCACGAGCATTGCAAACATCAAGTGACCATGTTTATAATGATCACTATTAATCACGATTAATTCCGTTTCTTCGACACAATTCTTCGCGATTATGTCTGCGTCACAAGTCATAAGGATCTCGACATCGTAAATAAGTGATAATACATCAGCACATTTAACGATTCTAATCTTTTCATTTTTAATCTCATTAAAGCGACTCTGAAAGATACTATTCTAATCGAAGATCATTATAATTTGTTAATTATGAATTATGTTTGCGCATTGAAAAAAATTATTAAATTAATAAATATTTATTTCAATACTACCGCCTTATAAATCATTTATTTAAAACAAATAAATATTTATCTAAAAATATTTATCTGTTTTGAAAAGGATTTTCTTTTATAACAAATAAATTATTTATAAGACAATATTGAAATAAATATTTACTCCAATTAAATAATTTTTTTGTCAGTGCGCATTAGTAATTAAACACGATATTAAAGCATATGTACATTGAATATTAATACGCATACACACATTCACATACGTGTGTATTGTGTATGCATCGAATATAGAACGTGAATATTTTATAATAATCTTAATCACTTGATAACACACAAATGCGTATTATAATGTGTTCTTTACTTTAGATAATCGTATAACGTGACACGAGAACCAGAAAAGTTTGACGCAACCTTCGCGACAGTTGAGACTACTATACTTAAAAAAACACGCTACTTGGAAAAATTGTGTCGGCGAATCTTAAACCGGAGGAAGAAGAAGGAAAAGAGTCTAGACGGGAGCTCACGGTCACCTGTGTTTACAATATCACAATCGCACGAAACAGTCGCTAATCGTATGAAGTTCGAAAACGCGGCGACGTATCATATTATATCGAAGCTCGAGACTCGGAACACGTGCACTAAAATAAGATAAGCGAGTATTCCTAGGAAGGACAGAAAACGAAAAAAAACAGAGAAAAAGATGCATTCGAGACTCCGAGACTTCGTGGAGTTTCTTACAGCAGTTAGATGTTTAGTCTAGATTAAAAATAGTCGAATAAAATAAATGCTAGTTTTTACGTTCCGCACGAAATAATTGAGAATTGTCGCGATAGTTATCGTCTAAAAATTATTAATTATTATTTCTTGGAGATCGTAAATTGACAGTTTGTCAATTTTTAATGAATTTATAAATCATGTAAAATTTTTTAATGCTACGTATGTTATATTACGTTTGAAAATTGTAGGATTTTTCGTTCTTGCAGTATAAATGCAAATTAACATGTAAAGACAATTAACATTAATAATTTTACCAATACTGCTATAAACGTTGAAGTAGTTCAGACATATTTTGTATTGCATAAATGAAGCAATAGTCTTTCTTTCTCTTGAAGTATATTTACTTATATAGATACATATTAATGAAACATAGTAAATAGTAATAAAAGATGAAGTTGTAAAAGCAGTTATTACAATGCACTATTACGTTAGGTACTTATATTATTGTAATTGCACTTGAATAATATTTTAAGACAAACAATGATTTATTGTTTTATTCTTTTTGTGCAACACAGATTATTATTTGTTATTTTATAGAATTTAGTAATATACACTGAAAAAGAGCTCCGTTCTCCCCAATTTTCTGAAACTTTACAGTATTATGTATTTTTGTAAGTAAAAACAAATCTATAAATTGAAAATGTCGCTCTCAAGCAGGAAAAAGTTATAAAATTTTCCTCCCTAGAGGGGACGCATTTTAAGATAAGTAAAGTTTCGGCAAAATCAGAAAGAACTTTCACAAAAAAAAGTAAAAATTGAGACTCACTGATACGATGTTCAGCAGCGGAATTGTAATCTGCAAAATATAATTATTGGAAATTATATACTTGCAAATATAAAAATATTTCATTAAATATTTATTTATTATATTATTATTATTATTTTATAATATAATAAAATAGAAAAATGAATTATTAA